CTTTATCGTGTTTGCGGCATATTTTGAAGAAACTACTTACAAACTGTGGACCTTTCATAATTATCGTGGACTCCATGATAACAATTTTACTCCATACGATTATTTAACGAGTATTTATGTCGTCATATCCGTTTACTTTCTTCGATATCGTCATTTCGAGTGATTGGCTGTTGCTTATATAGATATGTATAGAATATGACTGAATCGCTGAATACTGTATTATAGAGCAAGTAGAAATGGATTCTGTACAACTATATATATATATATATATATATATATATATATATATATAATGTTTCTAATGTTTAAGGTTTGAAATTTTGTACGGACGACGATTTATTTGGTATTTGCAATACTTTTGAGTAGACGGATAGTTTCAGATATTTTCAGTTATGTTAAAATTGAGTGAAAGCATTAAAATGGTACTGTGGCCATAACATGGTATTCAAGTCGTCTACATAACGTATATACATCTCGACTTCGTTGATGTGCGTTCTTAATACGTTATGCTCCAAGTCTGCCATAAAGACATCCTCTAAATAGGGCCCCAATGGTGAGCCCATGGCAACTCCATCAATTTGACGATACATCTCCCCGTTGAAGGTGAACTGTACGTTCAAGGTGTATATGAGTAACAATTCCTTCAGAAGGTTTTCCGGGAGATTTATAGGTACATTCAGTTATGTAGACGACACATTTATACTCTGCAAATCGAAAGTGCAGGCTGTGAAACTGTTGGAAGCTTTCAATGATGTGCATCAGAATCTGCAATTCACATGTGAGCATGAGTCCGGAAGCCGACTACCATTCCTAGACGTTAATATAATCAGAAATGCTGATGAATCGTGCAGCAGAGCGGTGTATAGAAAACCAACTTGGACTGGACAGTACATCAACTTCTATAGCGCGGTACCCCTACAGTACAAACGAAAGAAAGAACTAATCGTGCATAATCCTTTCAAAGGCAACAGTGCGACTGATGCCCTGCCCAAACGCCTGAAAGACACTGTTGAAAAGACCTATTTTGCGGCTCGCCTACGCAGAGTATTTTACAGTGAACCTTTATTCGCAAAACCTTTGAAAGACAGGCTGCCTCCGATAAATCGATTAATGCTTGTTTATCTTTACTCGTGCTCCTGTGATGCACGATACGTGGGTCGTACTACGAGGCGCCTATCTCATAGGCTTCGCGAACACATCCCGAAGTGGCTTTACAAAGGCGAATCGAGGTCTAATATATGCTCTATCTTGTTTCACCTTCTAGAGTGCAGTCACGCAGGGACGGGAAACGATTTCAGTCATCTATGCTATTTTTGAACGTTTCTCGCGCGGATTCCGGAAGCATCTCCTGTCTATTGAGGAAGCTATCTACATCCGCCACCTCAAGCTAGAATTATGCGTACAAAAACAGTTTGTACGCCTTTTACTTCCACCGTGGCCTGCAACTTCGGCTGTGATTTCCCTTGTGCATACTTTACCACCTTCAATGACCTTGTGATTTATTGACTTGTTCCTGTCGGAATTGAATGCTGATCAATACGCAGCCAAATCCGTCATGTAATGTTTGAGTCTGATGAGAATTATCGAAAAGAATTCTTTACGGATTCTGCCACCCTTGATTTATTCTAATAAATGGGAATTTTTGGATTCCTGAAGATCAGCATTCCCTGTGATTCAGTCAAATGATGGATAACTCTTATACAGAAGACGATCAGCAGAAAACAGCGGTAACGTAGTCACTATACCAATGCGAAACGGTAATATCGAAGCCGATAATGGATGGGATGTTTTATATTCACCTTTACTATCAAAAACGGCACAAGGCTCACATAAACGAGAAATACTGCAACGCCGTCAAATCCATCAAATACATATGTAAGCACATGAACAAGGGCAGCGAGATGGCAATTTATGGCCTGAAACCAAACAGAAGTGATATGAATACCCTTACACGTATAGATGGAGTCGCTCGGTATCAGGCTAGAAGATACGTAAGCAGCAATGAAGCTGTATGGCGCATTCCTTTCATTCCTGATTTATAAAAGAAGTCCAGCTGTCGTTCACCTAGCAGTACACCTGGAGAACGGACAATGTCTTTATTTCACGGCAGAAAATATGTTCATCAAATGGCCTTAAATCCGCTGGCTACAACGTTAACTGCTTTCTTCACCTTATGTCAGCATGACGCGTTTGCGAAACAACTGCTGTATTCCGATGTGCCCACGTATTACACTTGGAATGTGAGTAGAAAATTAATAGAAAGACGCAGAGGTAAAGTGCGATACGACGGAGGACCTGGCATCTTCAAGGAAATTACAATAGGTAGACTGTACAGCGGGCATCCTGATCCGGGTGAATGCTTTTCACATGTTGTTTAGTCAAGGTGCCTGGCCTTACATCTTTCCAGCACTTGAGAATTGTCAACGGTGTTACACATGCCACCTTCCGCAGTGCATGTCAAGCTCTGAAGTTATTGGAAAACGACCGACATTGGGATTTATGCATTAATGATAAGTGCAACACGTCACATCCTAATCAAATTCACGCATTGCTTGCAATCATTGTTGACCGCTTACTTTCCTTCTTCTGCAAGAAGCAAGGAAAATGTCGATAGGAACATGGAATTTCCAGTGGAAATACACAAGGAAGCCTTGATAATAATTGATGATTTGTACTTACAAATCGTGAACAAAGCTCTAAATCAAGACGCAACACCACCACCGATTCCATCTGTTGCTGCTTCGTTTGATGCCGAATTGTTTCGTGAACTAAACTGCAACACGGGAGATCTTTCGTCGCATGCGGTATTCAACATTCCTAGGTTAAAAGTTGAGCAAAATGGGATTCACAGTCAAATAATGCAAACTGTCAATGATGCGGTTGGAGCAATCGTTTTTGTAGATGCGCCTGGAGGAACTGGTAAAACCTTCTTACTTAGATTGATTCTTGCGGCAATTAGATCAGAGAATAACATAGCCTTAGTACTTGGGTCCTGCGGAATAGCTGCGACATTGCTACCCGGTGGAAGAACGACTCATTCCGCTTTGAAATTGCCAATGAACATGCAATTGATTGAAATTCCCACATGCAACGTTTCTAAATCGTCAGGTGTGGGAAAAGTATTGCAGAATTGTGAACTTATTGTTTGGGATGAATGCACAATGGCGTACAAAAAATCGCTGGAGGCAATTAATCGATCGTTGCAAAAGTTGCGAAGAAACAGCAGACCATTTAGGAATGCGTTATTAGTGTTTGCAGGAGGTTTCAGGCAAATGTTGCCTGTAATTCCTCGAGCTATACCAGCGGACGAAATAAATGCTTGTCTGAAATACTCGTCTTTGTGATGCCACGTCTGGACGTTAAAATTAATTGTAAATATGCGTATCCAGAGTTTCAACACGATCACTCAGCTGAGGAATTCTCAATTCAATTACTGGATATTGGGAACGGAAAGTTGTCCATTTGTTTAACCTCAGGAAGAATTTCACTGCCTCATAACTACTCCAATTTTGTGACGTCAAAAGAATAACTGGTTGAAAAAGTATTTCCCAATATTCAAACCAATTATCCGAATCACGATTGGCTGAGTGAACGAGCTATTCTTGTGGCCAAGAACAAGGACGTCGATGAACTGAACATTTTTATTCAGTCTAACATTCCAAGCGAGGCAGTCGTATACAAGTCCGTCGACATCGTGTTGGAAACACATGAAGCGCCTCAGTATGCAACATAAGTATTGAATTCACTCGAGCTATAAGGATGCTACCGCACGTACTTGAATTGAAAATGGGCACACCAATTATCATGTGGCGAAATATCAACCAGCCAAAGTTTTGTAACAGCACGCGGCTTGCAGTAAAAGGATCACTCAAGGTCGTCTAGGCGACAATCTTGATCAGACCTTTCAAACGTGAAGATGTCCTCATTCTTCGCATTCCGATGGTTCCTACTGATATGCCATTTCAATATAAGAGACTGCAATTCCCTATTCGTTTAGCGTTTACAGTCACGATCAACAAAGCTCAGCGGTAGTCTTTTTAAAGTGTGGGGGTTATATCTACGCGTCGACTGCTTCGCACATAGACAATTGTGTTGCGTGTTGTAGAGTCAATCTCCATATTTGCACAGACAACGTAATAACAAAAATCGTGATCTACCCACAAGTGTTGGGAAATTAAATCTATTACACAGGGGAGATTTTTCTGATTTCAGCATTTTCATTTAACCAGACAACGGAACAACACACAACATTGCATCCCCACAAGTTTCGTGAAACCACGTCTATCGCAAAGGTGAGATTTTCCTTTTCTTTCATCTTGATTTAACCACACTGAGCGACTGCAACGCGTTTGCAATCACAATCAACAATACTCATGGCAAATCTTTCGAAGTGTGCCAACTGGATGTACGCACGGACCGCTACTCACATGGACAGTTATGTTACGTATACTAGAGTCGGCAAACCAGACACTCTCTAAATGTGTACCAACAATATTACAACACAAAAGGTTGTGTACCCAAAAGAATTGTGAAACTACATCTGTTACAAAGATAAAATAGTTTCCCTCCATTTTCATACATCTAGACAACGGTACAATTAACAACGTTGCATACCAACAAGTATTACGAAACTACATCAATTACGAAGGTTAGACTATTCTTTGCATTCATTTTAGCATACCCACACTGAGCCACAGCAAAGCGTGGCCGGGTACAGCTAATATATATACATATATATATATATATGTATAATCACAATAGGTGTACAGATATTTTGCCATCGGAAGCATGGCGATTATGTTATCTCGGAACAACGCACACTGGTATGTGATGCGTACTTAGAATACACCAGAGTACCGCTGAAGGACTAGGAAGACCCGCGGCCGATTATCGCCACGAAAATAATCAAATGTGGATGAGTAATAGGGTAACAAGTATGAACAAGCAAGTACTCGCAAACTGGTGGGTTTAACGGAGTTGGAATGAAACGAAGGACTCACTTCCGTCGGCCAACTTCGTGTCAGGAGGAAAAGCGTGAAGCAACTGTTTGGCCTGTGGAGCAAAATGCGACATCCGGAGGGGGTTATCAATGAAATAAGAATTGTTTGAGGAAACAATGGACCCTTAAGATTTTGCATTGAAAATGACAGTTATGGACACTACACCGGACATGGAAGTAAGACACTAGCCAGATGGGGCAATGTGCGTTGATACAGGGAAAAGGTGTTGTACAATGACGCCTAAATTGAAGAGCTAAATGGCGTATTCGTGTTATAATATCATCCTCACGAGATATCACGACGACTGTGCAGGGTGATGAAACCTGGTACAATCAGAGCAAATGGTTAAACTACTAACAGAAAATAATGGAAAACAGGGTTAGACGAGAGAAAGTTATCTCGCTAATCGTTACTCGATAAGAAAAACAATCTTTCATATGCTACTTTTTGTTTGGACTCATAGTAAAGGCTCTAGATGCTGAGATACGCGTCACTAATTTCTCGCTGCAAACTGCTAGTCAGCTTGACGAAATAAACGCCGATAGTAGACTCAAATCGCACCTGGTCCATACTCTTACTCCACTAAGGGACAACCATCAGGTAAGTCTTCAAACCCAGTTTCCCACTTAAAGCTGAGAAACTAACACGTAGGGTTGTTGGTTGGGAGCAAGTAGACAGTCTACACTATTGACAGCACAACAGATCTTTCGTGGTGCGCTTCAAAAGCTTCCAGCAATGTTGAGCTTAAAGTGTTGCTATCTGGGTTTAATGTAGGTTCTATAGACAACAAGTAAACGTCTAAGAACGAGGAGGAAGAGCATGAAGAACGCAACCTCAATCTTAACATCTGTTGAATGGGTCCGCCTTCCAGGATGTGGATCACGCGACTCGGACTGTCAGTTGTTGGAAACGCTGAAGGTTATGGTGCGCAACAGACATCAATGGCGACAGTGTTGTGCAACCGCATCATTTTTTAGTTAATGTCTACTCGCACATAAAAATACAAAAAAACGCAAAATAGCGTGCGTACAGCATAAAAAAACCGTTTTCCTCTGCTAATGTACTTCGTTTTACTCCCATTTTTGCTGTGAGATATTGAGGCTCGGATCAAGATTGTGTTCCCTTCTCTCAACTACATAATGAACAAGTCAACCCGGAAACTCAGTTCCGAAACATAGTGCAACGAGGGGTATAGGTAGAGTAACTAAGTGTCGATTCTCCCGGCAGTATTCGAGCTGAGAGATCAAAATCTTACATGCAATGACTAAAAAGTGGTGAACGCTTAAGCGCAGGCGGGACAGAAATGGCTCACCTTGTGATTGAAGTAACGTTCAAATTTGGTTCTTGCCAATTGTACACAGCCAACCCAGTCGACTGGACGGGAGCTCAGGAAGCGAGCAATACTGTAGGTCAGCTGACTACAGAGCCAGGTGGTTTTGGTTTTGAGTTCCGCTTCGCTCATTTTAGACGTTGTGGTTTTAAGCAGAACAGAAGCTAACTCCAACAGCCGAGCGCCAGGAGAAGTGCGATCCAGCGCGGACAAGAGCTGCGAAAGCTTCTCTGGTTTGAGTGTAAACTGACTGGTGAACTGTGACAGGGAAGAAGCGAAGTGTACACACAAACCATTAAGTAGAGGGAAAAACGTAAAGTTTGAGGAACGAGCACACTGCTGAGCGAATGTCGGTTGAACAGAAGTTTAAGCACATGAAAAATTTAGATGGCTTAGCTTAGTCACGAAGAAATCAGCAACACTTAAAATGCATTGGAAGCAGTGGTCAGATGGGCAGCCAAAAAGTTAACGTCGAATCGATTTGACTGTGTAGCATGCAGCAACAGGGGTGAAGTGAGAGCACTGAAACGAGTAGATCGCAAATACACCAAAGGCGTCACAATCAACAAGTTAAGCGGGATAAACACGCAAAGGGAGTGAGAAACAGTTTGGAAGGAAAGCAATGGAAAAGTATGCACTAATCAACACTAGTTCTATATATCAAATGAATGACTGGAGGCACTCATGAAGTTGTGATCGGTTTGGCCCGGCCAAAACATAGCAGAGCGCCAAAAGTATTGATCTAGTGAGGTATTTCCATGATAACAAACCTTCTCTCGTGCCCATTCAATACAATGGACTGGCAAAGTGGGAAACGATTTCAGCGTACAGTACGGAATCGACTGAGCTCCATCCGCATCTGGTCCTTCGGTAACAGAACCGCTGTCGTCGTCGTGTTGACTATTATACGATTCAGTGAGACCAGGAAGAACAATCTGAACGTGGCCTTTCGTCCCCAAAGTACCGCTTTCGAAGAGGGGCAGGTGTAAAGACACACATCGAGTGTCCAAGTAGCGCCGACTGGCAACGCAATCCAAGGCGGCGAGTACAACCCCGGTGGTCCGATGAGATGCGGTGGATGGCGAAGATCCAGTGGCAGTGAGAAGAAAAGCGTCGGTAAACAAAGTTTTTTCAGTCGAGGAGCAGACTGAAAATAAAAATGAGTAAGTCTATAGCAGAATCGGCAATCCATGAGAGGTGCTTGGAATCAAAATGAAAGCCGCTGATCAGTAAGACCAAGGTGAGTACATGGAGGACGCAGACCGATAAGAAAATTCGTCAAGGAGATACCATTGGACAAGACCGAAAGTGAAATAGAATCAGATTTCATACCGAACTTTGCATTAGAGAAACTTGAAACAGGATTAGTTAGTTGGATAATGTGGATTCCCGGTATATCTATAAACGTTGCGAACTAGCAGCCGAATAAAACATGGAAGTGAACAGACATTAAGGGAACACTGTTAACCACGATTGGGATAGCCATCGTGACAGTTAGATGGGAAAGTCAGGTGGATTGCCTTAAGGTGATAGACTAATGGTGCCACGAAAAAGAGGGTGGATTGCGACAATTATAAACGGAGTGCTGCATCCGTAGTTCTACATAGTACGCAAGACAAATCACAGACATATGAACAAAAGTTCGATAAGGGAAAACGTAGTTGGTTCACAAAGCCACGTCGAGCAAGTAATTGCTGAAAGGAAGACATTATGACTAGAAAGACAAGGTGTTATAACCAACTGTGTTGGCCAAAGCCAAATGGGCTGGGCGAAAGCTGATGAGAAAAGGAATGCAAAGTACTAGAGCGCAGAAAGGAAATGATGAGAAGTTAAAAGTGTACAAATCGAGTCAATCGCTCCCACTGGGCTTCGGACCAGGGTGACATTTATTACAGAGTGAACAGTTAAAACAGACCAACGACTTAGTACCTACTTCCAATAACAGTCTCGAACAGTTTAAGTCCGACTTGGTCAACATTTCCTTTCAGTATAAAAGGTACCCCATGATGCACACCAGATTAGTAACAAAAGCATACATTGTAGCCATAAGAGAACATGAACAGAAAGAAGATATCATCACCCCCAAACCGGACAAAGGATCAGGAGCACTAATCATGGATCGCACAGAATAGGTGCGAAAAATGAAAATGACCCTCACGGACCCTCCAGATTTGTACGGTATGAACAAGATAGACAAAAGAAAATACACAGAAACGCAATTGACAAAAAGTTTGAAGTCGCTAAAAATTGATGGCTATATGACTAAAGAAAGATCTATCATTCCGAGTACACCTTTGCGACCGATACTGGATATGACGAACTCACCTTATCACTGTATCGTAAGATGGTTAGCAAATATACTAGATCCTACTAGAAAAATGGTAGCTCCTTATCAGCTAATGGATAAGTTCCAATTCCTTAAAATAGGTAAAACATGAAGTTCTTAGGCTATCGAATGTTTGCATTGGATGTCATTTTGCTGTTTAACAATGTCCTGCTGCTGGAAACTGGCAATTTGCTTTGTGACTATGTCGACAAGCACAAGATAAGCATAGGGACACTAACTATCCACTGAGGCAGCTGTTACGCAGATGCACCTATGACATTCAATTCCAATTCAGCAATGAATTATATAGACAAGTAGACGGAGTAGCTATGCGATCGCTTCTCGGGCCATTGTTAGCTGATGTCTACATAGGCATGCTAGAGGATGGCTCACTGAAACCAACCATTAAGAGCTTATGTTCCTACCGAAGATACGCAGACGACATATGCATAAGCGATCAGCTGAACAGTTTGCAGAATGTCATCGAGAGCCTCGACAGAGCTCATCCCAACGCCTCATTCATAGATGAAGAAAGTAAAAACCAACTGAATTTTTTGGATGTAAGCTTAAGACGAAAAGATGACGGATCACTCCAGATGGGAGTATACAGAAAGCCATACTGAACCGGGCAATACATGCATTTCCAGTTTTGTTCCACTAAGCCGCAAAAGAACACTAGTACACACTTTAGCAAACCGTGCGCGCAATATCTGTAGCGTGGACACAATTGAAGATAAACTGAAGTGAATCAAACAGACCCTACTAGAAAACGGTTATCCAGAACGCTTCATCAACTCATATGAAGGCCAAGCAGTCCGAGATCCACCATGTAAACGGTTGAAAAATGACAGCTGTTTTTCCAACTTCCTTGTAAGGGTGACACGGCGGCTGATTTATGTACAAGACGAATGATACGAGCTTGCAGAGCGCAAATTAACGTAGTATTAACGAGCAAATTACTAATGAGTACTGAGGATTTTGGTATAATTAGAGATTATTTATCACAGACTATGTCAACAGGCGCTGGCACGTCTGGAAAAGAACCAGACAGCGCTGTTTTGACTTTCCGGGTCTCGTGAGTGGCGCGCCTTCCATTGGACACCTGTCGCGTTCCGACCCTATGACTTTCAGATGTCAGCAGCTACTGCCACTAAGCCATGGGTGACGGCAGCGGATTTGCATGATTGGCAATTGACTATGATATAGCCCGGCTCATCTTCCAGCTGCCAAAGTTTGCTAACTGACAGTGAACTGATGAATTATCTCTAAATCGCTAAGTGTTCCTAGATGCAAAGATAAATTGCCTGATCAACTCCAACCCTTGATGGTCTACCGGGTGAACCGATAGAGAGATACATTGGACGGACGGCCAGTCAGTTAAAAATGTGAAACAATGAACATTTTCCGAATTCGCTCATAAATCAGCAGGACAGAGAAAAGTTGGGTGTTGTAATAACTAACCACCTAATTTGCACGGGGCATCAAGTGAACAAACAAACTGCTTTTGAAATCCCGTATAGAGTACGGTCGCAACTAACACACCGGTCAGGGGCACAAGTGCTTGCGACTGCTGAGGCTGTACGTATCAGTGACAAACCCGAATCGATCCATTCAGGAAAGATTCTTCAACGCAGTGCAACTACCTTGGTCATGAATCAATCGAGACGGATCGGAGCATGCTCGACGGCACCACGTGCCTTCAATCATTTGATCGCCCCGATGCACGTCACGATAGTCGTTTAATTTTGTCCGTTCAATAGCCAATTTACGCATCTTCTACTGGACTACACTTTCCTAAGGTAGATTTCAGTAGTAAATCTGATGATGAATAAAACGAAAATAATTGTTTGTTTCAAGCGTAATGCTCACGTTGCTCCTTGGGATAGAAAAAACAGAAGCATTCGGCACAAGGTTTATATTCCATGCATGGGAAAAAGACCAGAAGCAATGTACACAACTCATAATTTCTAGCGCAGATAATACTTTGCTTTGGAATGTTACATGGCCAACGGAATCACGAGATAAATATACAAATAGAACGTGGTTCTGATTTTATACACTTGAATGATGAGCGGCGAAACAAGGATATGGGTCCCAAACAAAGGTAGATGACGACGGGAGACTGCTTAAGTGGGTAATGCGGCTCAGATGGTTGTCGAGGCGGAGAGATATGGCCAGCAAATTCACAGCTGGAACAAAAACCAGTAAGGAGTCCCCGAGTAGTCTGACACGCGGACCAGTGAGCTGCCGCGTAGAATCGCTTGAGTGCGATAACAACGTTGTTAGTGACCCGATTGTGACACAGCATCCTACGACTCTAGTTGGAAACTGGAATGAAAACTAAAAAAACACCAGAAGGAAGACACACATCTGTGAGTTGAACAGGACAGCATAAACCGATGAGTCAGTGAAGGCTATTAACGACAAAAGACTATCACATCCAGCCTACAAGTTCCGCTTCAACAGTCACGGCTGGTAGTGTAGGTGTCAACGACCACTGGAACCTAAGTGACCTAGCGAACGAGAGCTGGAAAGTGAGCAGGCTGTATCGCTTGCAAACTGGTCGGTATAACACGAAGGAATTTAGGAGTTCTGATAACTCGGTGACGTCATAGACCCCAACTTACTTCTCCATAGTGATCAGAATGAGGTAGAAAACTGGGGCGTTGTTGCAAATAACAGCGTTTTTCTCTAGTTACGGGATCAAGACATATATCAGTACCCACAATAAATTATGACGGCCGACTAGAAAGAACAAAGCGGGCTTCGACCGTCCTAGAACCCATGATCGGCTGGGACAAGTTGTTCTGGTATAAGAAACGCAGATGGCGCGTCGAAAATCCGTTCAGTTTGACAGCGTCGAACAGATAGGTCAAACGAAGTCGGAGATTTTTTCCCGACATATAGGAGGATATGTGAATCATTACTCGGCACGGCAACTTTCCTACTTAATGACATAGTGCTATAACTTAAATCGGTCCTCAGAACCAAGTCTTGCTCTCATAGAGTAGGACGGCCCTCACTGTGATCTTGTACAAACGGCCTTACAGACTTATATTAACATTATATACTTTAGTTAGAGGTGAAAAACACCTCAGCTACTGTGCCGCAATATATAAAAAAAGAAAGGACTGAAGATACGCGCTTCACACATTAAAGAGGTCGTAGATTCAAGAAGGCAGTTTTAGGTTTTGAATAAGTGAACTTAATCCAGTTGCTATGCGCCCATCGCCAGATGCAGCTGCCAAAGTAAGTAACTTGATCAACTACCTCGAGTTCCACGCCATCAAGTGGCTGGTGGTCTCGAAACAGCGTTTTGCACTTTGAAGGTGCGAAGCGCATGCCAGATGAGGGGCCACTCTAGAGCTATTCAGGGTTGATTGCGCCGCCCCAATATCGTTGAAAAGTAGGACAATACCGTCCGCATAATCAAACACAATTAGCTTTTCACAAGACCGCACCTCAACGCCTGCATCGTGAGGCTCCGCAAGGGAACACTCCGTGATGCTGTCCATTAACGAAAATGGTGAAACTAGACAACACTGACGAACGCCACTGGTTGTCAGAAAGGCACCTGATAAATCACTGCAGACCCTTATGAGACCTGTGGTGTTCGAGTACATGGCACATAGCACGTTCACATATTTCATAAGAACACCTTTCCGCAGAAGTATTTCGAACAGAACGCATCGACTGACTGTCGACCTGCGGTACGTGTGGCGCTGCTCTAGCACACGCAACAGAGTGGATATGTGGTCTATACAACCACGTCCTGCGCGGAAGCCTGCTTGCTCTTCCCTAATCTGTGATTCCCACACCAC